CCGCTGTCGCGGCGCAGTGCCCGGGGCTCATGTCGGAGGAGTGCGGGCGGCCTGCAGCCCTGGCGGCCGGGAGGACCCGCAAAGGCGCCGGGGAGGACGCAGGACTGGTGAGTGGGGCGGCGGCCTGCGGGGGGGACCCCCAGTTCCTTGGGCGGGGCGGGACGCGGGGCTGCGGGGGGTCTTGCAGGTCTGGGGATCCCCGGGAGAGGACAGGGAAAGCTGGGACGGGAGGACAGCCCTTGGGGTGCCCCCGTGGGGTGGTGGGACGTGGAAGGGAGGAGAGGTCTGCGGCCAGTGCCCCCTTCTTCCTGCAGGTGAATCCTGAGGGAGCTGGGGACGAGGACTCCTGCTCCTCCTCGGCCCCGCTTTCCCCGTCGTCGTCGCCACAGTCCATGGCCTCGGGCTCCGTCTGCCCGCCAGGCAAGTGTGTGTGCAGTAGCTGCGGCCTGGAGATTGTGGACAAATACCTCCTCAAGGTAGGATGGGGGGGCATGCGAGCCCCAAAGGGAGTCCGCGTGAGGCTCTAGGGGAAAGTGCCCCACCCCGTGTCAGCCCAGGCTCTGAAGTCCCTCTCGGCCAAGTGGTCCGCCCTAGGCCCCACCACGAGGAGGGGGAAGTGCCACTCAGCGTTGTCTGGCTGGGAAACTGTGGAGACGCGGTCTGCTGCTGTAAGGAGGGTTCCCCGGGTGTGTGCGGAGGGTTTGGGGAAGCTCTGCCACCCATCCTGAGAGCTGCCAGTCGCCAGGGCTTTTGTTTACCAAGCCTAGACCTCTGCTTACCTAAATATCCTGTACTCTCCACACCGGTCCCTCCTCTCCAACACGCCTGTGTTGCTATCTTCGTAGACTAGTCCAGGTCGGTGTGCCAACCGATTCACAATCTCCTTCTCTGACCAAAAACACTGTCAACTGATTTAAAAGACCTTTTGTTTGGACTGTTATTATCTTCGCGGTCTTGCGTTTATTTACAGGTACCCGGAACCTTCCCAAAGCAAAAGTTCATATAAGTTTTTAGAAGCCATTTCGGTACCTCCCGGACCTTGCTAAGCACAATAGTGTTATGTCCTGTCCGTGCTGGGGGAGGGTGCCGCAGATCCAAATAGACTAGTTAGGCAGGCATACTGAGCCTCGGCTGAAATGTTTCACGCAGTGGTTTCAGAGTTGACTGACCTTCTTAATTCGGTTTAACTTTTTCTTTTAAAATATTGTGCGCAGGGGTGTGGGGGAATTTTGGAGTTGAAATTCTGGTAGGCTGCAGTTATCCATGCCATTGCAGGCAGAATCTCGGTCCCATGTGTCTTAACATGAATGCATTGGGTTTCCAACTTCAATAGCTTTTAAAAACAGCTATGTGGGAAAAAAAATGTTTTCCTCTGTACCAAATTAGTTGCAAGCCCGTTCACTTTCTCTTCTCCTCCCCATGCTTCAGCTTTCTGAAGGATTAATTATGGAAAGTAAAAGTTCAAAAAGTGAATTAGTGGGTTTAAGTTAATGTCAACATTCAAAAGCTGAATTCTGGGTGGAATGGGAATATTACTCTGGAGCCCAGATAAAGCACCAAAAGAGGCTTGGGTGAAAACAGTTTTAGATGTTGTTGATTCTTGAAGCGGGCAAAC